TTTCGCTTTCTTCGACCCATGTCCTACTCTTTATCAACACTTCCATTTCTCAACTTAGAAAGGGAAACGAAAAAATCTTGAAATGTGAGGGCCAGAAGGTGCGGGTGAATAGACAAGCAACAAGCGGAGGCACTCAATTACTGGATCATAACAGCAGGGCTTATTTACAGACGCAGAAAATTCGCTTTCGAAAATGGACCGAGGTCAGTCACGAGTAAAACAATTTAGTGTGTTCATCGTTAAGGTTACTACTCATTCTCGTCTTAATCCCTACCATTTCGGTTGCTCCACTGCAGAAAAGAATTAAGTTATGTGCTGAGTTGTGTTCAATCATACTGTATTTCTATGTGAATCCCTTTACTAATCATTATACACCTGTACGATCATCTACCAGGGCACGTTAACGCATGCGTGACGACGGATTGATGATTTTGTTCAATAGGCAGTAGTGGACTTTGTGATGCTCAAACCCTTGATGGCCGTTTTTGTGGGAAGGATGAAAACTCGCCGTGAGTAGAGCCACCCGGCTGGTTAGAAGTCGAATTCATAGAAGATAAGTAGACACCTGGGCTTAACTCGAGCTTTCCATCTATTCTGTGTGACGAATTAAGATTTTCTTTTTTACCACTGCACTAGTCAATGGAATTGATCGAACGATTCTGATCGCCGAATATCACTATCTTTTCATGGGTGTGGTGCATTAGGAACGAAATGGTCGCGTCGCGGTGAGAGGGGCGTCGCGCGCGAAGGAATGTAGCAGGATGCAGTCGTAGGTAAGAAATACAAGGACAAAAGTACTGATAGTAGAATTATGTATAAAATAATGATCGCATATCGATTGAGCTGTATGAAGAACGCTAGAGCTGAAGTTCCCTTTAAGGCATTGTTAAGAAACAGATTTGTATTACGGACTACACAATGGGAAAAAAACTTTGATTCTGGAAAGAGTTATCACTGCGGGATCGGGGAATCGCGCAGTAAGGTATCAGTTTCCACTGATTCTTACTCTCTCATCGCTAGCTAGTAGAGTTAGCGGGCTTTAAAGCTCAATTGCGCAGGGGAGTGGTTCAGATGTGGCACCCCCTACTAGCCACTATCACTTATTACCGTTTTACCGCAGCAACTGCCATCGATTTCCCAGTTCCACTTGGGACAACACTCTTTAGTAGGACGTTTTTCAGAAAAAAAGGGGATGAAACTCATTAGTTACTCTTAGGGCTACTCATTTTTGAAGTCTTATCGGTCAGTAGCTACGATCCCGACATACCCCTGCACAATGCACTCAACCGCAAAGGATCTTCATTCAGTGCGCTGGGCCTGCAGAACCTTATCGCTCTTTCCTTCTTAAGGTTTTATTGAGCTCTATCAATTACTATCTTACCATATCATATTTTGCCACTTGTCTTCACATCAATATTATGACAATGCCAATATTATCATCACACCCAGATTTTTCAGCCTTTTTGAAGTTCCTTCTTTTTGTTGGCTGTTAAATAAAAGTTCATCATGTAACAACCCTTTGAAACTTTGGGGTACATTTCGCGCGCCTACAGACTAATCGACAGACCAATAGACCGACCAGCAAAACGACACTGGAGTTACTGGTTTGTACAATAGGGGAATTATCTAGAGAAAAACCCCTCCAGCGCCCTCAATCGAACACTATCGAACACTTTCTGAGAACGCAAAGAAGTTAATCCTCCAATCACTTCATGAAACACTGAAAATGAACCGGACATAAGCCTTTTTGGTGTCCTTGGCTATCAATTCACTATTGAGTATCAATATTTCCATTTTAAAAAGAATAATTGAACATCATTTCATCCTCTTCCAGCTGAGAAAACTGTTTCTCAGCTTACACTCAGTCATACTTTCGGTTCTCATGACTGGTATTAATGACAGTTGAAAATGGAAGGGTTCCTGATCACGGGGTTGATTCTATTGTCCTCAAAAAGGAATGCTCGGGACCAATTGGCTGATGAAGATAGAATCTTAACGCAGTCAAAAAAAAAAGCCTCAGGGTAGTGGGTTTAAATAAACAGTAAAATATGAAATATCATGCTCACAAATATTCTGTCAATTGCCTGGTACTGATTTGACGTTTCTAGTTTTAGAACCCGGCAGTAATTCAATGGCTGGAAACGTTAGCCTTCATTGAATATGATGACTACCTTACTCTTGGTTGCACCCAGGGATTGATTAATGACCCATTACATTGCATAATAGGTTGGCCCACAATCAAACGTCTCAACAATTTTGAATTCCATTCTAATGCATAGAGCGATCCAACGCGTGTACTCAACGATGATCTTTCGAGCTTATCATTCCTCTATCCTGAACCCAAACCAAATCAAATGGCAAATCGAATGATTGGACATGAAAAGTGACGAGGCAAACTTGTTTGCATAAGAACTCGAGGGTGCATTAGTTCATTTCTTCAGCGAAGGCCGCCGCTCGGTTTATTCACTCACGATGTTTCTCATCGAACAGTTCATGGAATTATTGGGCCTCAGAGAAGAGAGGCCACGTGCAGGACGAAGTCCTACCAGGTTTGCTGATTACGCTTCGAAGCACATCCCTCAAAGGCATTAGTCCTGAGCCGTTTCTCACAAGCGACCATGGCCACTCTGCTCGATAAGACAGAGCGGTTCTCATCGGATTTCTTTTTTTCCCGGACTCTGCCTTTCCAGAGTTTTCATTTGGCAGCTGTTCGGGCAAGAGACGAGCGCCATTTCAGCGCATTGATTTTCATGCGGTGAAAAAAAANAAAAAAAATGAGGTCCCAGAGAAATGCTGTGGCTGTTGGATTGCCGTAACTAAAAGGACATCGGTCACGGAACTCCCGTCCTGAAATGTTCACTGGTGCTTGACCTCAAACTCAGGATCCGCGAAAGCGGTAACACGACGGCGACTAAACTGCTGACAGTTGTTTAAACAGTGCTCACACACATCTTCTTGCACTTGCGCTGTTAAGAAGAGCTGTGTTGTTGAGATCGACTCTGAGCTTTACGGGAAGGGATTCTCTTATTCCACATGAACTCGATGAGCACAGAGCAGAGCTCTCTGCCGAACGGCCACAATCGACCCGCCTGCACTGCTGCTGCTCTGAGCGCGTCTCGATTGACTCCGCCTTCATGTCGTCCACGGGAGGGTGCCGTTTCTGCCATGACTCCCCATGTCGCTTGGTTTTGCATCATTTACACTGAATGTACAGCTAGCTTTGAATTCGAGCCTATAAAAGAGTCCATAACTGCCTTTACCCTGCTGTATTCCTTATCATATTGTGCTGATTTGCTCACTTTGTCATGTGTTCAGTTTACCATAAGATTACCGATGGATCACATGAAAAGCCTGTTGTATGTAAGTAAAGGAAGGCAGTACCGCCGCAACAGCCCCTCCCCTCGTTTTTTCCTTTCTTTCCCCGCCTCCGCCACATTTCGCCCTGGCGAGGCACTTACATTCTTCACAACTGCACAGCGCTTTCGATTTCCCTCTCTCATCTCTTATTTCCCCACTGGCTCCTCGATTTCCCTCACTTATCATCAAGTTATCGTTTATGTCTTTCGTTATTTTCCATAAATTTAAGATTATGGGGGTCGTTGCTGTCATTCTCCTAGAAGAACTCGTATTCAACAGGACTTACATTTCGTAATGATTAGTAAAACACAGTCAACAGTTGATATTTGAATCAGCACCACTCTAGACAACCCTTCCTCGTCGAGCTATGTTCCCATTTTCAAATTGATTTTGTCGGATCCGAGTTCGCCCCAGCTTAGCTTTATCTCTTTAAGACCAAACATGACAACAGCGTCAGACGAAAACAATCCATTCACTTTGGTCCCCCAAACATTCTCTCAAAGTACGGCTATTCTCGGTCGTAAAATTCTGCAACACACTTTTAGCCCTGACCGATTTTGACAGCCTATATAAATCTGATACAGCTGACATATTTCATGGGTGACTTCTGAATTCTCTAGCTCTATGATGTCACTTTGGAATAATCAAGTCGGAGTAGACGGTGTGAATTGGACAGCTCACAAAAGTGTAATGACACTCCAATATTTGATTGGATAGGGTCCCAAACCCGACGTCTTTGCCGCCTTCGAACAAACTTCTGTGTAAGATCACTAATAGTAGATCTGGCTTAGGCCTGAATCCTCGGTCATACCCCCTTCTCAGGAACGGGCTCAGGGGCATACCCTGTTGTGGGTTCTACCCACACTGAAGTAACTCCTCGGGATTAGGTATAAACCATTGTCACCATTAGTTTATCCCTTCGTCAGTAGTTTTTCACCCTCTGACCACCACTCATAGTCAATATTTCTCAAGGAGAAATATACAAACTCTTCAACTTTTCGGCAAAGGCGCCACCCAATCGTCTTCAAAAACAATTTTCGGTGGGGTCTATGCTGTTATGAAACGTGTTTCTGAGTATTATCTTGATTCTTGAGAAGCTCCCGTGAGAATCTCTGATCCGCCAATGTTACGATCGTTCATTTCTGTTGTTTTGAAGTGCCAAACAAAGCAGGGAATAGAGATACCATGGTGAATGTTATCGACAAACCAGTTAGTTGCGAAACCTAATGATCACTGAATTGTCCGCATTAGAGGATCGTTAGAACGCAAATCATAGTTCACTCCTAAACATAATTTCATTGTTAGCATGCTTTCCTCCGTTCCTATCTCATTACATCCTTTTTCAATCGATTACCTGTCAAAAGAGGGTCTTGTTGTTTTACCTATCATTACATCGGTCCCTCATCTCAACTCTGCCCCTCACTCTCAGTTCCGTGCAGAACGCCATTACAACCCAGATCAGTGAATCCTCACGTTGCCTTGCGAAAAAAGCAGGCACAGCTTGTTGTTTATCATTTTCACTAGGGGCAACCTAACATTCCAGTCAGTTGTTTGTGGCCCCTTGACATTTGAACATGTATGACAGCCGCTGATAACGATAATCAACTCAGTACACTTCATCTTTCATCGAAATTTTTTGAAGGATGGCATCGTACTCACAGTACCTCACCAAGGAACAAGAAGATGAACTTCGCGGCATCGCCAATGCGATCGTAGCCCCTGGCAAGGGAATTCTCGGTAATTATTTGGTTATTTAGCTTTTTTCTTTCCGCCGATAAAGTTCGGATGAGGTTGAGCTGAATAAGTCGAAGCCTCTGACCTCATGAAGTGTTCTGACCAGTGATGCATATCAGAATGAAGCCAAGTATTGGATTTGATATCAGTAGAGGCCCATGCGCGGGTGCATGGCGCCATCTCTTTAACATACCTCCACCTAAGCCATTCCATCAAGTAGTCTCTGATGGTGTTTTTTTTTTTTTGAGGACGATGGGAGTTCCTCAAGGAATCATTTGGAACTAAAATCAAATTAAAAGGGCTCAAGTAAGATACACTGAACAAAGTCCCAGTGAAAGAGCCCAAAACCCGAAAAATAGCAGGCCGTCTCCTCAACCCATTTTCCCGCTTTGCATGCTGCCCTAAGTGCCCAACACTGCTCTTTACAGCTGCTGATGAATCCACTGGAAGTATGGATAAGAAAATGCAAAACATCGGTTCCGAGAACACCGAAGAGCAACGACGAAAGTACAGACAGGTACTTTGGGATTTTGCATTAACTAGTAAATATTCAAATAATATTATTTTTTTCAGCTTTTATTCACCGCAAGTCCTGAAATGAGTAAGCATATTTCGGGTGTGATCATGTTCCACGAAACCTTCTATCAGAAGACCGATGATGGGACGCGTTTCGTTGACGTGCTCAAAAAGCAGGGCATAATTCCGGGAATCAAGGTGAGTTACCGGTACTTGAATGAATAATAGAAGTTCCGTCCGAAATCGAGTTAACTTTGAAATACACTCTTTCCTGTGGGTGTTAGAGATTCGTTCGCTGGAACAGGAGAGTATCACATTTCACCGACTATTGTCTCTTACCGATGTGAACGTGGAAAAGTCAATCTTGTGAACGTGGAAAAGTCAATCTGTGTTCCTATTCGCATTCACCTTCTCTTGGAAAGTCTCGTATGGGAAACGATGGAGAAAGAGAATGCGGAATGAACCGCTTCATTTCGGAGAATAGGCATCGATTAAGGCGAGGATGGAATCAAATATGTAAAACCTACTGACATCAGATGCGCACTGATGGCTGTGTCAGTACCTAGCGGTCGCCACGGTTGCACAGAAGTAGTCTTGACAAGGTGGTAACGGCAAGGGCAAGGAGTCTGCCCACCCTGAACAAGCCCTCTTCAGAGGATCTTCAGCGATCTCCCATAAAGTCGCTTCCAGTCCACATGCGGCCACGATGTTGCAAGGAGCCAGCAAAAGTTTGGTTCGTGGTAGAAGGAACTCGGCGGGTTCTCAGGGTACCGTACC